GGAGGTTGCAGTGAGCTGAGATCACGCCATTGCACTCCAGCCTGGGTGACAAGAGCAAAACTGTCTCAAAACAAAAACAAAAACAAACAAACAAAAACATCGTTCCCAAGCTAGCTATAAGAAAAATGTGTAACTTATGTAGATGGAAATGCTACAATTTTTCATAATCTGCATTATAGAGTTCTTAGGTTCATTCCCATACCTTTGATTTGTTTGCCTCTCGTTTAGCCTCTCCTGCCAAACTTCCCACCATCGCATCTATCTGTTGCTTACTACGCGGCATCCCATCAAAGATGTCAATGTAGAGGTGCTCCTGAACTATGTTCCATATCTGATTGTTCTGTTTCTCCTGAAGATGCCTCTTCAAGAGTTGGTACGAGTCACGGGAAATACGCAGAACAAATTTACTTGTTCGAAAATCCAACATGGTCTCATTCCCTTTCATGTGTTCCTTTTTGGTAAGACTAGATAATACACGTAGGTCATCCTGGTAATAACATTCCTGATCTCCATGGAACCTGTTTCAGTGATTTTAAAAAGTCATTTTTCAATGTAATCATTAAGGGATCTGCCTCTCCCCCATATATTTATAAACCATCCCAGAATATTTTCAGTGTAGTAGTCTAAAAAATTCTGAACTAAACTGTAGGATAAGAAGTAACTCATTTCAAAATGATTATAATTCAGTTTCTGAATTTATTCTAAAAATGAACAAATGTAAATCTCTAATGAAATGTATCACAAACATTTTAAGAAAAGAATTTAAATATCCTAAGTGAAAAATAATATACCCACCATTGGTAGACAGTTTCTTTAGAATGGAGACATTTAAAAGAAACTGGTAGACATTTGAAAATATAAGAACCCTTGCTTTACTAAATGTTATGGTTTCTCAAAACCCACTTTTAAAAGTTTTATTATGAAAATTTCAAAGGTATACAATAGAAAAGAATATAATGAACTCAGTGTACACATTACTCAGCCTCTCAACAATAATCAATACATAACATTCTCATAAAACCCATCATTTTTAATGATTTCCTATATTCATTGGAAATACGTACCAGACATATTTTTAAAATATCAATACTTTAATATGATCACTAAACAACAAACTAAGTGGAAGTACTCACTGCTGATACCAATCAGTGAGTACTTCCACTTACTCACTATTACCAAAGACAATAAAATAAAGCCTTTAGCTTTGGTATAAACAATCTGTAGTAATTTAAATAGGTACATTGTGTTTTTTACAAACTACTTAAATTTTCCTAGAAAGTATAAATTGAATGACAATATATTTGGGCATTCACTAAACAGCAACTCAATGCAAAAAGACGTTTTATAGGAACAGAAATAACTGAAAATATTAGGGCTTCCCAGCTCGGTGAAAACAGACCCCAACAGATTCTAAACTGTAAGTATGTTACCGCCGCGACTACAATTCTCAATATGATGGATGGAAGATTGTGAATAAAAATTGAAATCTCAGCCTTTATATTCAGTAACTGGCCCATATCCCCTGTTGGTGATGGGGTCCTGGCAGATAAACTGTCCATAAAGGAAAAGACAGAGAATCTCCCATATGAATATTCCAGGCTATACCTGATGCTGGGGAGACAGCTCTCACCATGAGACTGGAAGGAAGCAAAAAGGTTTTCTTCTTTATTTAGAGAACAGGTTCTTGCTTGAAGCCAACTGGACGTGCAGTGGTTCAAGTGCAGCCTCAAACTACCTGGGCTCAGGGGATTCCCCCTGGCCTCCGTTCCCCAGTAGCTGCTGACTCCGTGTTGCCCACCGATACTTGGCTAAGTTATTTGTTTAGTGATCTCGTCTCACTGCAACCTCCGCCTCCGGGATTCAAGTTAATTCTCAATGCTTTCAGCCTCCTGAGCCAGCTGGGAACTATAGCGACGCGCCCTAGTGCCCAGCTAATTTTGTTGTATTTACGTTAAGAGATGGGGGTTTCACACATGTTTCGGCCAGGCATGGTCTCGAACTCCTGAGCTCGAGCAATCTGCACCACCTCAAGCTTCCCAAACGTGAGGGCATTACAGGCAGTACGAGCCACCGTACCTCGGCTCAAATTTTTGTTTACTTGTTGTAGAAGCAGCGATCTCGCTTCTTTTGGCCCAGCTATGTTTTTTTTATTAATTTTAATTTAGTTGTTGGTGAACCGGGATTTACGTCTTGTTTGCCCAGTCTGGAGTGCTAATGGCGCAATCTTGTGCTCACTCCGCCTTCTCCACTCCCGTGGTCAGTGATTCCTCTGCCCTAACCTCCAAAGTGCTGAATTACAGGCATGTGTCACCACCGCCGGCTAATTTTGTCTTTTCAATAGAGACAGGGTTCACCGTATTGCCCAGGCTGATCTTTGAACCCTGACCTCAGGTGATCCGCCCGCCTCAGCCTCCCAAAGTGCTAGGATTACAGGCGTGAGCCACTGCGCCCGGCCTGTTTTTGTTAAGACAATGTCTATTTGGCAAGAATGGAGTGTTCGATGACAGTTTAAGAGAAATTAGTTCTAGAGTAGAAGTTCCTGTCGTCAGCCTTTCTTAGTTTTTTCTTTTTTTTTTTTTCAAAAACACTTGGCTACAGAACGTTTTGCTTTATATACTTCCTATTGGCATCCTAGTATAATGAATTACTATAATGGCATAGAAGCCAGGGGTTCCAAGTTCTACTGTTCCTCTATTACTACTACCCTGTGTTAAATGATAAATCTTGACTTCAGGCTCTATTGCTTGTATTAAACATTTCTCATTCAGGCTGGGCCCGGTGACTCACACCTGTAATCCCAGCACTTTGGAAGGCCAAGGTGGGCAGATCACCTGAGGTCGGGAGATCAAAACCAGTCTGACCAACATGAAGAAACCCCGTCTCTACTAAAAATACAAAATTAGCTAGGCATGGTGATGTATTCCTATAATCCCAGCTACTTGGGAGGCTGAGGCAGGAGAATCGCTTGAACCTGGGAGGCGGAGGTTGCAGTGAGCCAAGATCGTGCCACTGCATGCCAGCCTGGGCGACAAGAGCGAAACTCCGTCTCAAAAAAAAAAAAAAAAATTTTATTCGCCCTGCTAAGCAAGGCCTCCTTTTTTTTTTTGAGATGGGCTTTAAATAAAGCCTTTAGCCTTGATAACAACTAGTAAATTTAAATGTACTTGTGTTTTTACAACTCTTAATTTTCCTAAGAAAGTAAAATTAAAGACAATATATTTGGCATTCACTAAAAACAGCAACCAATGCAAAAACATTTTTAAAACAATAACTAAACATATTAGGGCTCCAGCTCTGAAAAACAGACAGCCAACAGATTTCTAAACTGTTAAGTATGTTACCCCACTACAACTCATCAATATATGATCGAAGATTTGAATAAAATTAGAAATCTCAGCCTCTTATATCAGTAACTGCCCATTATCCTCCTGTGGTGATGGGGGTCCTGTGTTTGAAAAAAAAAAAAAAAAACTAGAGAAGGCTGACGACAGGAAACTTTACTTCAGAAGCTAATTTCTCTTTAAAGACTGTCAATCGAACACTTCCATTCTTGGCGACATAGACACTTGTCACTTAACAAAACAGGGCCGGGCGCAGTGGCTCACGCCTGGGTAATCCTACGCACTCGTTGGGAGCTGAGGCGGGCGGATCACCTGAGGTCCAGGGTTTCAAGAATCAGCCTGGGCAATACGGGTTGAACCGCTGTCCCCTTCTATTGAAAAGACAAAATTAGCCGGGCGTGGTGAAACACATGCCTGTAATTCCCAGACTACTCTGGAGAGCGAGGCAGGAGAATCACTTTGAACCCGGGAGGGTGGAGGGAGGCAGTGAGCCAAGTTGGCGCCATGCACTCCAGCCTGGCAAACAAGACGTAAATCTCCGGTCTCACCAAAAAAAAAAAAATTTAAAAATTAAAAAAAAAACATAGCCTGGGCAAAAGAGCGAGATCCTGCTTCTACAAAAAGTAAACAAAAATTGAGCCGAGGTACGGTGGCCGATGCCTGTAATCCCTCACTTTGGGAGGCTGAGGTGGGCAGATTGCCCTGAGCTCAGGAGTTCGAGACCATCCTGGCCAACATGGGTTGAAACCCCACATCTCTACTAATACAAAAAACAAAAAATTAGCTGGCCATAGTGGGCGTGCCTATAGTCCCAGCTGCTCAGGAGGCTGAAAGCATGAGAATTACTTGAACCCCGGAGGCGGAGGTTGCAGTGAGCCGAGATCACGTAAACAAAAATTAGCCAAGTATGGTGGCACAGGAGTCTAGCTACTGGGGAGACGAGGCAGGGGGAATCCCTGAGCCAGGAGTTTGAGGCTGCATTGAACCACTGCACTCCAGTTGGGCTTCAGAGCAAGAACCTGTCTCTAAAAAGAAGGAAAACTTTTTGCTCTTCCAGTCTCATGTGTAGCTGTCTCCCCACATAGGAAGCTGGAATATCAATAGGAGATTCTCTGTCTTTCCTTTATGGACAGCTTTATCCCTTGCCAGGAACCA